AAATTAAGCTACAAAAATACACAATTCCATGAATGATGTAATTGTGCAATATACAAACTATATATGACTACAAAAATCTGAAAAATCAAAAATTATTTTGCTGTCAATTGTGTGCTAAGTCAATTGGTAAAAGTTCTCTTAGCAAAGAACATACGTACATTACTGCTTCACGAGATATTCCCTGTGCTAATCCTCATCCTTCATAATTAGCTTTGGAAAATTTTTCTTTTCTTTCTTAGACTTTAACAATTGGCAAATTATATACAACCATGAATGCAAAGAAGAATAGCATGGTCGTCGTCATTCTCTTATGCTTTGGCAAAAGTTGCAATGGAATTTCTGAATGAGTTATAAGAGGTATAAGTACTCCAACTTGCCCTCCCAAATTATTTTCATTAGAAAAATATAATATAGCATACAGAAGGCAACAACGGTGAGGGAATTTTTAAATTCATACGAAATTTGCATTGCGTAATAACAACGGAATTTTGCAATTCTAAAGGAGTACGGTGCAATCCATCTCAAGGATATCACATGGATTTTTTTCCCCTACTCCAGGTATGTTAAGACTATCCCTTCTTTCTTTTGGCATGATCCATACGATACGAACGAAACGTGCAAATGCACAAATTCCATGAACGACTCTATTCATAGAAGTATTAGAGATATCTATGTTCTTGAATTTCCGTGTGTCATAATATTTTATCATATGTTCATGGGTCTCAGAAAAATACGAAAGTTGAAAAGAGTTTACTTTATGATATTACTCAAAGGCAAAATGGTCTTATGAAGCTCCGAAAGATTTTATTAACGTATTTTTCATGCATTGCATTCATGTGCATTGACCCATGATCAGATGACATTATATACGCGTATATATGTATGTATATGGGATATGGAAAAAGTTTACGGCGTTATATATGCATCACTACCTAATCAGTTGGTATATGATGATGGTGGCTGAAATATGATTCAAACGGCGTTATATACGCGTATATATGTATGTATATATATGTATATGGGAAAGGATATGGCGTTATATACGCACCACCACCTGATCAGCTGGTATACGATGATGATTTTGGCCACAGTGGCCGATATGATAAAATATGATGGGATGCCCTCAGAGGCTGATGATGTTATGAAACATGTACCTATGCACGACATGATATTCATATGCATATGCATGATGCTAAAAGTAATTTATGATTTACAAAGTTATTCAGACTTATAGGTTGAGTCATGTACTCTATATTTCTTCCATGTCTCTTATGTACTTATTTATGTGCCTTACATACTCGGTACATTATTCGTACTGACGTCCCTTTTGCATGGGGACGTTGCGTTTCATGCCTGCAGGTCCAGATAGACAGGTCGAGAGCCCTCCAAGTAGGCTATCAGCTCAGTGGAAGATGTTGGTGCGCTCCCTTTGCTTCGGAGTTGTGTGTTTGGCTAGTATGATTTAGACAAGTATTGTGTGGTATGGCGGGACTCTGTCCTGTCCTTTATGACATTTATGTACTCTTAGAGGCTTGTAGACATGTGTCATGTACGTGAAAGATTGTGCATCCTTATCGGCCTATGTTTCGTATTTCTAAAAGATCATGTTGGCCTATTAGGCCCGTATGTCACGTGTATATGATGATATAATAAGAAAGATACATTACGTTGGAACTCGATTGAGTAAGGTACCGGGTGCCCGTCGCGGCCCATCGATTTGGGTCGTGACAAAACCTATGGGGACATGAACTTTTTTTTTTCTTTGTACGACTCTAACTTGATTCCAGAAAGGGGAGGTCAAAGAAATCAGTACAGGCTCAAAAGGGTATCGAAGGGTATAAAATATTTGGGTAGCTGATAGAGGTTCTCCAAATCTCTGAAAATGCCAAGTACATTACCTGCAACTTGAGGATGAAAATTGAAGATCATGCACAATATTTCTTTTGTAGCTTTGGCATTGATATCACTGATATGCTTTCTACCTTTCTTTAGTGCCTTGTCAAGTACAAAACTCTTGTTGGGTGATTCCCTCTTCACAATGGATATCCTCCATCAAGTCGGAGCAAACTCTCTTGACTTTATCTTGTAAAATGAGGTGCACTTGAACTCAAAACTGCTCTCTTCAAATTGTCCAGGATGCATTCTCTTGTAACAAATTCTTGTCGTCCTATTAACATCCCAAACTATCTGCCCCAGTTTCACACAATTCGGGCTTTAAATGATCTCGAGACGTCCAAATCTTTACGTATTTCTATCATCTTCAAAATTATTTCATTGCTTCATGATTAGACTAACTTTTAAGACAGACTGAGAATTACGCGTGCATGTCATGTCACTAGAATTAGCATGAAAATATTATAAAAGTAAAAGAGAACTAAAAAAACATTGACTAGAAATAACAAAAAATAGGAAATTGCATTAGACAGACGATAAAAGGGTTTGAACAACAAAACAAGCAAAATACACTAGGGTTACAACCCTGGAAAAACCTAAATAACACTAAAAAGGTTACTACGACTAAATGAACTAGGCAAAATAAAAGGATAGAAGGGTTTGAGTCACAAGACAATATCCGCATTATAACCTTGAAATAACCCGGACAACAGAAATGATAACAAAATAAACCATCAAGACTCCGCCTCAGCTAACCAAGAAAGGAACGTCTTTCCAATTACCAAGCTCGACATCTTAGCCACTGAGTTCCACATCAATATTACCAAGACCATTACCAATTTCATTATCATTAACTTTAGTCAGCAAGTTTCCAAGAGGATTCTCATACTCCCTGTCACCACGCATAATCCCCACAAAGTGTGCATCATCATGTGCAGATAAAGGATTCTGCGCGATATTCTGGGTATCATTGTTCTGGATCACAATTATCCCTTCTTGAATCATTCTTTATGTTTCCCTTTTCAAAGCACGACAATCTTCAATGCTATGACCTTGGACATTAGAGTGGTACATGCACCGTACAGTAGGATCAAAACCTTTTGCATATAGGTCCAGGGTATAGCCGAGGAGCGGCTTAATCAGGCCAGAATGTTTTAACTTTTCAAACAGGCTTGTGTAGGACTCTCTGATTGGCGTGAAACTATTTCTTTTCCTTTGTTCCCCTCCATGCCCCAGTTTTCTAGGGTTGTTGGATGCTCGAAAATGTTGTGAAGCCAAAAGTGCATTATGCGGTGCTGGCGCTCACCATAAGGAGTGACCCAGTGGTCGGACAGATGACCAGACGTTGTTCGGAGGATAATACTGGGGTGGATTATATGGAGCTCGGGGATAGGTTTGGGGTTGGGTTTGAGGCTGAGCATATTGGTGAAGCGGACCCGTTGGGCCATGTTGTGATCCTGAGACAACCATGGCAACATCATCATGTTCCTTCTGACCCAGCAAGCTTCCTGTGTCGTTCTGAATTGCTTGTGTTTTGGATTTTAAAGCATAATAGCTCATGATCTTGCTCAACTTCAGCCCATCTTCTACCATTTCTCCCATTTTTACCACATCATTAAAAGGCTTACCCATAGCCGATATCAAATGTCCAAAGTAAGTAGGCTTTTGAGCTTGAAGAAAGTACTTGACAATCTCGTCTTCTTCTATCGGGGGATTGACTCGGGTAGATTTCTCTCTCCATCTGAGCCTGTATTCCCTAAAGTTTTCATTAGGCTTCTTTTCCATCTTGGTGATGGACATGCGATCCGGGACAATTTCTATATTGTATCGAAAGTGTTGGGCAAAGGCTTGAGTCATATCGTCTCATATGTACCACCTGCTAGCATCTTGGCGGGTGTACGACTTCAGAGCTACCCTACTCAGACTCTGACTGAAATACGACATCAATAATTTGCCCTTTCCACTGGCGCCTCTCATCTTACTGCAGTAGCCTCTCAAATGGGCCACGGGATCTCCATGTCCGCCATACAAATCAAACTTTGGCATCTTAAACCCAGCAGGCAATTGGATGTCAGGAAACAAGTACAAGTCTTTGTAAGACACGCTCATCTGGCTCCCTATCCCTTGCATGTTTCTTAAAGACTGCTCTAAGATTTTTCACCTTCCTGGATATCTCATCTTGCTCCACTGTCTTAGCAGGCTTTTCAAGTTTACCGGGAGGCTCAAAATGAAGAGCGTGAGAAGTTGGTTCTGGATCATAGTGTTGGGCATCGGGGACTTTGAACACAGTCTCGCTAGAGGATCGAGGAAGAATAGCTGGTGGAGGAGCTACAAAAACATGAGTGGTCAAAGGAGCGGGATATGAGGTGGTTCTGGGGGGTGGAGTGTGAAAAGGTTATAAGGAGATAACCCGAACTTGTGACAGTGGCGGAATAGTGACGAGGCTTTCAGTGTAGTTAGCGGGAACTAATGATGGAGGACGCCCACTAATCCAAGCTTGGTATATTTCAGTCATCTGTCCTTTCAACCTTAAGACCTCTTCTTTCGACTCAGATTCTGATTCAACAATCTCCTTAGACGGATCAATAACACCTGTGTCCAAGTCTTTGCTAGTCATGGCTACCTTGCGCTTTGACCTTATGTTGTATGGAAGAGTTACCAGTTTAAGAACCACAAACCAACCACCCTTCTGCTATAATGAAGATAACAAAGAGGAACAAAATGAAGCCATTATGTTAGCGTTAAGGCATTTAACAGCTAAAAATATCACATTGCGCAATGCACCTAGCAACAATTAACGGTTCAAGAATGATTTCGAGGGTCACAAGATCACTTGGCATCATCCCAATTTTTCCATTTGAATCTTCTCTTTTCTTTTCTTTTCTTTTCTAGCACTTCTTGGCTTGCTCATTTTCCTTCCTCTTTTTTTTCTAATTATCGCTCTTTTCTTTCCTCTCATTTCTCACGTCCCACAACTTCATTCTTTTTTTTTTGATTTGTTTGTTTAAAGAAAATGATTCGATCGAACCCTATGTAGGTTGCCTACGTATCATGTCCCATATGAATTAGATCAACGTAGTTCTGGAAAAGTAATGGATAAATTAAACTAAAAATAAAAATCTTTTTGGATTAATCATTTACAACTTTTTTTTGAATACAAAATCAGAAATACGATAACAAAAAACTCGACAAACTCATCTAGACTATGATAGATTCTGAAACCACCTAAAAGACTTAGTACTATTAGAAAGGACTAGAAAGTAAAAGACAACATAAAAGGAAAGCGGACTCAAAACATAAAAAAAATCTCCTTAAGTATCTCCTGAATGCAACGGTCCTGACTGGATGGTCCCGGGTGTCTGTCATGCTCAAACTCAGGTAAGTAGATTCACACATGTATGAGAAAACTAAAACAAAATAGAGTTAAAGATTTAGAACACTATGTGAGACAATAACACTCCATATTGGATACATGCAAGACATGATTGAGGCTATTTTGCAAAATATCTTATGTGACCAAAAGGTGGCTAGAAGTGCAAACTCAACAAAAGTGACCTCTAAGACATGGAAAAATTACTTTGCAGAAATGACCCATTTTGTAGAAATGGCTTATGTGGACGAAAATGACTAAGAATGCAAATTTAACACAATGGACCTTAAACAGAGAGAATATCTTGTTGTGGAGTTAGAACTCTAAGACATGGATCACTGAACCACTTTTTGCGAAAATGATCCCATTTTGCAAGAACGACCGATGTGGCCAAAAGCGGCAAGACATGCAAATTCAACAAGGATGGGCCTTAAAGGAAAGAGACCTAATTGTGGATTCAAGACTCTTCAGACAATTCAACAAACCGAAAATAGCCATATTTTGCAATATGGCCAATGTGGCCAAAAATGGCTAGAGATGCAAGATTTGGCTACGACCCTCGAAGCCAACAACCTAAGACTCACTAGGAATACCGAACCCTATGTGGGTTGCCTACGTATCCCGTCCCGAAAGACGATAATCAAGTATACATAGTTCGGAAAGATTGGATACGGGCAAAAATTAAAAACAACTAATTTGGAGAAAACATATTTTTTGTCTCTTTTTTTTTTGAAAAATGAAGGGAAAGTGCAAAATCTTTTTGGATTTTCATTTTTTTTATTTTTATTTCCGGGAAATAATGGGAAATGCAAAATCTTTTATTTTTTGGATTTTTTTGTCTTTTTCTTAAAAAAAAATAAATGAAGAAAAACATAACAGGGTCCTACTTGCTTTATTTTTACACTTCACCCTCTTTCTCTCTCATTTACCCTCAACCATTATTAATCTGCCAAATGACCATTTTTACCTTGAAGAATGGAACATGTAGCACATAAGATGCATCAGGATGGTCTTTTATTTTTGGGTACACCTGTCAGACGGACTCAACCCCTGTGTTGAGTCCCCAAAGTCAAATGCGCATGATGCAAACAACGTTCCTACTAGGGATCCAACATGAGGCTATGTTATTCTAGGTTTAAACTTGGGTTATGTTCTAAACCTAAATTAGCCGAGCAGACAGCTCGAGCTGAGGTAGGGGCAACGTACCGGGAGCACAAAAGTCTACTCGGCCTTGTTGTTGACCCAAGCCTCATTCTATTTGGTATGACTTATAACAAAAAAAAAAGAGGGCCACGTGTACGTGTGCACCATATTTTTAGAAGACTCAAAAGGGAGGCGTAAGAAGACAGTTTAATACAGTTCAAATAATATCAAAGCGGTAAAAAAGCGGCAGTTAGCATATTAGGTCCACAAATACAGTTATATTAACAAACAATAAAGTCAAGCATAGATCATATCAACAAGCTCGAATTATGAACCTTGAACTAGAGATTCTGGGTTCGATCCCCAGCAGAATCGCCAGAGCTGTCATACCTCCCTTTTTACCCGCATAAGGGATATAAGTGAGTTTATCCAATTAAAGTGACAATAATTGGAACGGGATTATTTATTCAAATTCAGAGTCACCACTTGGGATAATTTATGGTGTCCCAAGTCACCGGTTTAAAATCCCGAATCGAGGAAGTTTGACTCTGTTTTACAGTCTGCAAAACACAGAAATTCGGGTAAGGAATTCTGTTAACCCAAGAGAAGGTGTTAGGCATTCCTGGGTTCTGTGGTTTTAGTACGGTCGCTTTAATCATATACCTGGCTTATTAAATTATTTAATTATGTACTTTAGAACTTACGTGCATCTACCCCTTAACCGCTTTTAATGGCTTGATTATTCATAAATTTGGAATTATCTTAAAATAAGTCGCGCGTACGTGTACTCATTTCGTTTGGCGCGTCAAGAATTATATCACGCGTACACGTACACAATTAATCATGCTTTGTAAATATTAAGAATGTTTGGCTGAAGTTGTGCGAACGCATACCTCGATTTATTTAAGAATCATAATTATGTCACGTGAACGTGTACATAAACATGATAATTTGTTAATTAAGGGCGAGCATAAAGCATATTGCTACGAAAATAAGCTTCAAATTCCAAATGGCTTTAGCAAACATGAAACACTATGATAGCCATTATTACACACAATTTCTAAAATATTCCATGAACTTCAAGCCAATGATATTTATCAAAAAAAACTTACGAACTAAAAATGGAATGTTCAACAAGGCACCATGAATTTAATAAGTGAGGCTAACTTGAAGAAGGACTAATTCACAACAGAAAACTTTTAATCACTCTCTCATCCTTCGTTCTCTTTCCTTTTTAAATTTTATATATTTATATATAGGAATTAACAAAAGCAAGACATCTACATTTTAATCTACAGGAACTTCATCAAAACAATCCACATAAAGCAGGGAAGCAAGAGCATAGGAGAACTTAACATACCATTATTTATGATCATGTATACACATCTTTGTAAAAAATTAAGTAGAAGAAGAGATGCATGGCAAGCCAGAATGAGCGGTCAATTGCATATCAACTATTGATCGCTAGAAGCCACTAAACTTGTCGAAACCAAAGAATACCATTGAGATAATGAAATTGAACCAAAGGTTTGACAACCAAGAGAATAAATAAATAGAGATGTTAGAGTTCATTCATTACCTCTCAACATGATACACCAATCAGATCAGTAGAGCAAGCAGTTTCTTTGAGTCCTTTCCCGTTCAGTCCACATGAATTCCAAATAACACTGTCAAAAATTCTTGAAGACATACAAGTGGGGTAGACCTTCTTTTAAAGAATCTTTTATAACTTTCAGAACATCAAAAAATCTTCCCACTGGTTTATAAGAAGAACATATCGATGAGGTTGAAAATGAACAGTCCCGTCACTCGGAAGCCCCGACAGAAATCTCAAATCGGCGACGACCTTGACAGAACCGCGAATCTCTCCGGAAACCTCAGACTACGATCTCAACTCTGTTGGTTCAATGCTGCAGCCGCTGATGCACCACCAACGCGTGCTAAGGCAGTAGCATCAGTAGGTAACAAGAGAAAAGAAGAAGCCAGTAGAAGCCCGTATGAGTGAAAGGATCGACGCAGCTTGATAATCTGGTGCGTGGCTGATTTCCGACGTTCTTTGTGTGTATGTCTTTTTATATGGGTGTGTGTTCTAGGCGTTCTTAGAGTTTTTCCGGCTGGACGCCGGTAGCTACGAGGTGAAGGGAAGTGGGGGTGAGTCAGATCTTCGAGGGAGTTGGGTGGGGTGCTGGCGGAGATGGGGTTGATGGTGACGGCTGGCTGGTGGGTTTTTTAGAAAAGATCTAGCTACTGATCTCTAGACTTTTTTTAAGGACTGTTGCGGCTGATTGTTTTTTAGGGGTTCTTCTAGGTTAGTTCAAAATGTGTATATGAAGAAAAAGCTAGGGTTAGGGTATAAGAGTTTTGGGTTAATGAAGGGTGAGGGGTGGGCTGTCCAAATTTTGTGTTTAAGAATTATGGGTTAGGTCCAAATTGAGCCAAATTTACCTTTAAAAGTAGTCATTTAACTCTACTAGACTAAAAATATCAATTCCTAAAATAATAACTACAAAATTGTGAAATCATTCCTAATTAATTAAAACAAACTACGTTATGACTTGAAGTTATATATATTGATACTTTCGAAGATTATACTAAAAACAAAAATGGGTTAAAAATAATATTTTTAAAAAATACCTAATACCTTAATTACATAGAGAAAAAATGAAACTATTTTTGTATTTTTCAGTTTTTGTGATAAAAAAAGGAAAAAAGTCAAAACTAGTTAAAATAACGATACTAGACCTAAAAAAATATTTAAACGCTAAAAAGTGTAAAATCTCGGGGAGGGTCAAAAATTACATGTCTACACTCCCTATTTACTGGTTTGTGGTACCGAAGCTGTCATTCCAACCGAGGTAGAAATTCCTTCTTTAAAGATCATACAAGAAGCTAAACTTAGTGATGCAGAATGGATAGGGAGCCTCTATGAACAACTAGACCTCATAGACGGAAAAGAATGAATGCAGTATGTCACGGTCAGCTTTATCAGAATAGAATATCTAGAGCTTTCAACAAAAAGGGTCAGACCAAGACAATTCGCACCGGGGCAGATGGTGCTGAAGCGGATCTTCCCGCTTCGGGATGAAGTCAAAGGGAAATTCTCTCCCAACTGGCAAGGTCCCTACATGGTTCACAGGATTCTAACAGGAGGAGCACTCATACTTGCAGAAATGGACGGAGAGGTCTGGCCAAAGACAAATTAATTCAGACGCAGTCAAGAGATACTATGTTTAAATTGTTTACGTTTCTTCATCTGATGTAATTGAACTACGCTTGACCTGATTCTCGTTTAAGAGGGGATATGTAGGCAGTCTTGTGAGGTCGGTCATGTCACAATAAAATTTTTATTTTTCCCCAGAACCAGAAACCGGGGCAGAATTTTGTGAAGGGCCCTCAAAATTCCGGAGCAGGTCCAGCCAATGCCATCATAGGCCAGAAAGTAAGAAATTGGTTAAGAAACTGGGGTAGAATTCTCAAAATTCTGGAGAAGCTTCAGCAAGTTTCGTCACTCGTAAATGGCCAAAGGATCATTTACTAAACTGGGGCAGAATATTGAGGAGGACCCTCAAAATTCTAAAATAAGAAAAGCTACAATGTCTCTGAAATGTTTTACAGTTATTAGTTTATCTAAAATTACTTAATATTTTACTATGTTTTCTAAAATAACTCTATTCTCATCAATAAGTGCATGTTTTCGAAAATTCTATTTCCGTAACAACCAGGTGTTACCTAGGGCAACTCAAAACAAGGCCTCCAGAACAAAGCGGAGCAAAGCCAGCAAACGAAGGCACGAGCCAACCTCCCCTTACAAAACTCACAATTTATCGTTGGATGCAGGCATGGCAAACATAATAGAAGTATTCACAAACATACACATATCAAAGTCACTATCAATCGAGCCGCTAGACGCAAATATATCTCCAATTAAGAAATACTCTACTTCTATTCGCTACATATTCACTGCATAAGGATATGCACTGTCTTCTCCTTGCATAAGGCTAAGCGCTACCTTCTCTTTGCATGAGACTAAGCCATGTCTCAAATCTTGCATGAGGCTAAGCCCTGCCTCCATATTTGCATAAGGCTAAGCACTTCCTTCTCTTTGCATGAGACTAAACCCTGTTTCAAATCTTGCCTGAGGCTAAGCCCTACCTCCAAATTTGTATAAGGCTAAGCCCTGCCTTCTCTTTGCATGAGACTAAGCCTTGTCTCAAATCTTGCATGAGGCTAAGCCCTTCCTGCACATTTGCATAAGGCTAAGCACTGCATTCTCTTTGCATGAGACTAAACCCTGTTTCAAATCTTGCCTGAGGCTAAGCCCTACCTCCAAATTTGTATAAGGCTAAGCCCTGCCTTCTCTTTGCATGAGACTAAGCCTTGTCTCAAATCTTGCATGAGGCTAAGCCCTTCCTGCACATTTGCATAAGGCTAAGCACTGCATTCTCTTTGCATGAGACTAAACCCTATCTCAAATCGTGCATGAGGCTAAGCCTTGCCTCCATATTTGCATAAGGCTAAGCATTGCCTTCTCTTTGCATGAGGCTAAGCCTTGCCTCTATATTTGCATAAGGCTAAGCATTGCCTTCTCTTTGCATAAGACTAAAACCTATCTCAAATCTTGCATGAGGATAAGTGCCTCTATATTTGCATAAGGCTAAGCACTGCCTTCTCTTTGCATGAGACTAAGTTCTGTCTCAAATCTTGCATGAGGCTAAACCCTGCCTCTATATTTGCATAAGGTTAAGCACTGCCTTTTCTTTGCTTGAGACTAAGCAATGTCTCAAATCTTGCATAAGGCTAAGCCCTACCTCCATATTTGCATAAGGCTAAGCACTTCCTTCTCTTTGCATGAGACTAAGCCCTATCTCAAATCTTGCATTAGGTTAAGCCCTGCCTCCATATTTGCGTAAGGCTAAGCACTGCCTTTTCTTTGCATGAGACTAAGCCATGTCTCAAATTTTGCATGAGGCTAAGCCCTGCCTCCATATTTGCATAAGGCTAAGCATTGCCTTCTCTTTACATGAGAATAAGCCCTGTCTGAAATCTTGCATGAGGCTAAGCCCTGCCTCCATATTTGCATAAGGCTAAGAACTGCCTACTCTTTGCATGAGACTAAGCCTTGTCTCAAATCTTGCATGAGGCTAAGCCATGTCTCCATATTTGCATAAGGCTAAGCATTGCCTTCTCTTTACATGAGAATAAGCCCTGTCTGAAATCTTGCATGAGGCTAAGCCCTGCCTCCATATTTGCATAAGGCTAAGCACTACATTCTCTTTCCATGAGACTAAGCCTTGTCTGAAATCTTGCATGAGGCCAAGCCCTGCCTCTATATTTGCATAAGGCTAAACATTGCCTTCTCCTTGCATGAGACTAAGCCTTGTCTCAAATCTTGCATGAGACTAAGACCTGCCTCTATATTTGAATAAGGCTAAACATTACCTTCTCCTTGCATGAGGCTAAGCCCTGCCTCTATATTTGCATAAGGCTAAGTATTGCCTTCTCTTTTCATGAGACTAAGACTTGTC